TTGTGGTCATGGCAGCCGCCGATACAGACATCAGCCGGACCTTCATTTTCTCACGCAGGCCAAGTGCGCAACATAAACCCAAGCATCGTGTATCATATGTAGTAGTGTCATCCACCTGATGTGTTCACTGTTCAATTCCTTTGACTACCACGACATTCACATAATACTAGGAAGGCTCGTGGCAAGATAATGCAGATATAAGAGAAAGTAAGTACATAGTCTAGATACCGGACACTTAGTCTGAACTTAGTATCTATTGTTGTCTCTAGCTCAATTTTTTTGGTGAAGGTGGGTTTTTTCAGGGCCTGTCACTGGCCTGCTTGGTCGGCCTGCTGCTTTTCAGGGAGTGGGATGTCTTCAGTAGAGCTTCCCATTTGCTTCTTGTCTATAGCTGCCATGTTTTGTGGGGAAGGTGGATTTGTTTCAGGGCCTGGCACTGGCCTGCTTGGTCGGCCTGCTGCTTTTCATGGAGTGGGATTTCTTCAGTAGAGCTTCCCATTTGCTTGTTGTCTCTAGCTGCCATTTTTTGATGAAGGTGTTTTTTTCAGGTCCTGTCGCTGGCCTGCTTGGTCGGCCTGCTGCTTTTCTTGAAGTAGGATTGTTCCATTGGGTTTCTAGCTTGCTTGTTGTCTCTAGCTGCCTGTTTTTTGGTGAAGGTGTTTTTTCTTCAGGGCCTGTCACTGGCCTGCTTGGTCGGCCTGCTGCTTTTCTTGAAAAGCAATTTTCCATTGGGCTTCTAGTTTGCTTCTTGTGTGTGGCTGCCAGTGTTTTTTGTGCAGTTGGTTTTTTCAGGGCTTGTCATTGGCCTGCTTGGTCGGCCTGCTGCTTTTCTTGAAGTGGGATTTTCCCATTAGGTTTCTAGTTTGGTTGCTGTGTGTGCCTGCCTTGTTTTCTCTGCGCAGCAGGGCTTTTCACTGGCCTGCTTGGTCGGCCTGCCGCTTTTCGTGAAATGATTATCTTTTTGCTGTATGTGGCTGCCAATTTTTTGTGAAGCTGGACCGTAGTTGGCCTGCTTGGTCGGCCTGATCTTTTGGGGGGCCTTCATCACAATACAGCTGATGCGCCTCGTAATAGTAGCAATGTCCTTTTGCTTGAAAAGCACATATGGCTCGCTATCTAAACTGGCAAACCCCAATGAAAACTGCTGAAAAAGGTAAAAATACATATTTAAATACAAAAATATGCTTTAAAAAAATATATTCAAAAACAATAAAAGATAAACAAAGATAAGGCAAACAATATACTATCTTTTAATATCTTCCATATCTTCCATATATTTTAGTAGAGGATATGTAAACACTTATTATATTTTACTTTCCCGAGTAGCTACTCCTAAGTCTACTACAAGTCCGCCGCAACATAGCCAAACAAATCTAAGCTAAACATAGGTTAACCACCTGATAAACAGACTTATATCTGACATACGATCCTCCTCTATTTCCAAGAACTTGGTTCCATTCTATGCGACTTATACGCGGCGTATGTATTGTTCAATGATTGTTGCGTATAAAAAACCGTTTTACGCATAACCTATGCATAACTTCTGCATAGGATTTGATTTATGCAACCTATGTCACCGACAGAAACAAGTTTTGCATATATGCAGAACTTCCCCGACTAAAATCAGTATAACTTCTGCATATATGCAGAAGTTTATGCAGCCTATGTTTTTGCATGCGTAAGTTATGCAGAAGTTATGCAGAAGTTATGCAGAAGTTATGCATGTGTGCCCTCAGGTTTTGCAGATTCCACACTTTATGCACACATAGTGTTATAAGAACGATTTTGGGTTTGAGGAGCTGTTTTTTGAGGCCGACACCTCATCATCTTTTTACCATCTTTTCCCAATCTGTTCACCGACTTACATTCACCAAATTCGACCAACTTGCCAATTTTTCGGAAGCTCACCATCTGTTCACCATCTTTTCACAATCTTTTCACCAACTCACAATGTGTTTGCCAACTTGTAAACACAAGTAGCAAGTTCGCTAACTTTTCACCGACTTGCCAAATTTTCGGCAGTTCAGCATCTGTTCACCATCTTTTAACCAAGTCACCAACTTTTTACCAACTTGCCAAAGAAACAAATTCGCCAATTGCTTGCCGACTTGCCAACATTTCGGCAGTTCACCATCTTCTTACCATATTTTCACCAACTTGCGACCTGTTTACCATCTTTTCACATCTTTTCACCAACTAGCCAAATTTTAGCTTTCGCCAACATTTTGCAAGCTTGTCGAAATGCCAGCAGTTTGCGATCTGTTCACCATCTTTTCACCAACTTGCCAAATATTCACCAGCTCACAATCTGTCCACCAACTTGCCCACTTTCCGGCATTTCACCTTCTTTTGCCAACTTGCAAATTGTTCACCAACCCACAATCGTTTCACCATCTCCTCGCAAACTTGCCAAATTTCACAAACTCGCCATCTTTTCACAAGCGTCTTACCAACTTTCCAGATGTCCACCAGCTCACCATCTTTTCACCAACGAGCATTTTTTGCAACTCACCGTCTGTTCACCTTCTTGTCACCAATTTTGTTCTACAAAGTCATTCTTTCGCCATCTTTTCACCACTTACCAAAAGGTTCACCAACTGGCCAACTTTTCTGTTGTCTGTTCGCAAATTTGGCAGACGTTCACAGATTCCTCAACTTGCACACGTTTCACAAACCCAGCATCTGTGCACATTTTTTCACCAACTTGCAAACTTTTATCCAGCCCACCATCTTCTGACTCTCAATCTTCTCACCGCTTTCAAACTGTTACTCTGCGCTCCTTTCACAGCAGCCCCACATTTTCACAAAACTCTCACTTGCTTACTTCTCAAGCGTCACCAACTTCTCGCCAGTGTTCACCACCAACTCACCATATTGCGTTATTACAGACGACACCGAAAGAAGTGTTAAACATTCCGAACCCACCCGCAGTTCAACTCCATCCTCGCTGTCGAAATTCAAGCATGACATGAGACTGAGGCGGGGCGTTGCTTGTGTGGACAATTCAGGTAAATTGAGTCACAAGAGGCCCTTGCAAGCAATGATTTGACGGACCCCTCATTTTATACTCAGTGATTACATTTCTTTGTGTAGGCAACCAAAGAAACCACCCTTTTAGAAAAAGCAACAGGGGGGTTGCCTAGGATCGCCTGGGGTATTTATATATATATATATATGCATATATACACACGCATGTGGGATCGTAACAAGGTCGGGGAACCCCCAACCAAACATACACTAGAAGAACGGGGGGGGGGGGGGGGGCGAAAGCAAAGTTCGCTCAGCAAGCTTCTCTGCGCAAGTTTTCTGAGCAACCTTCTCTGAGCAAGTTTCTCCCATTCTCTGAGCAAGTTCTGTGCGCACATTTCTCTGCACAAGTTTTCTCTGCGCAGCTGGGAGTGTCCCTTAAGAGTCCCTTACTAACTACTAACCTTCATCTACCCGGGTTTTGATTGTGGCGCACTTGGTCATAGAAGGGCAGCGGCGACCCGATGTGAGAAGTATAAACTTATAACGTCTTCCCTATAGAAACAAAGAATAGACCGTGTTCGGCGCCCGTTTTGTTTTTTTCACCTTCGCATATGCCATCTTACCTCTAAATGCTCCTGATTGCTCTGACCATTGATTTTTGGTACCAACCGTATTACCCAAATAGGCTCGCGATAATCAGTAGCTTGTTCTGGTGTCTCCGGCCTTTTTCTTCTGTCCCCCTCCCCCAATATTGGAGCCGGAGTCTGGGGCTCTTTCAGGCATGGTACACCGTTCATTTTTCCCACTGCGATGTGGCTAGGTATTGGGAAACTCTTTCTGGCATCCCAATTATGGCACCCGGGGCCACGGTAGTTTTTGCATCAGTCTTGAGGAATCTTGTGCACGCGCATGTCTTGGAGTCTTGGCCGAGTAGATCTGGGCAACATCCAAAGCCTCAGCGAATGATGGCTTCATTTTGTGTTGTTTAAAAGTTCCTTGTGTACTGGTTTGCAGAAGGCTTGACTGCTGAGCATTCGATGGCAGCCTTAGCTGAGCGGGATTTGCAGTTTCCTACTTGGTTTTTTGTTCTGCTTTGAGGCACCCCCCTTTCTAGTTGCGCATTTTGGGTTTGATCATTCTGTCAGGCTTGCGGTATGTTTTTCCAATCAGGATCCGCTCACCTGTCCTCTCCGCTGTTCAGGCACCTCGGGTTTAGGTCGACGCTCAAGGCCACACAGCTGTGTGGCCGCACATAAATGGATCCGAGGCGCGCAGAAAGAAGGCATTGGATCGGATTTGATCTCCCTTGACTTCCTTTTTGCGTTGTGTGTGTGTGTGTTTCGCGTTCTTTCATGGCGGCTGCTTCTGAAACCTGGTGATGACGAGCTTTCCTTGAAGGGGCGGAGGTTGCCTGGACAAACTCGTCTTTCGAACGGCTTTCGCCCTACCTCCGCGCGACTGCCACGCTTTTCCTCACTCATTTTTATTATGTGATTTGTGTTTGCCCTGGGCCCGATTTTGTGGCACGCACGCGCGCACAAAAAGACACACACCGACAAATCCACACATCCATACGTCGCTATGCATCTCTTCAGCCGCCCTTCCGCGTCTCTTACGTTGGCCTGGAACTTCTTTACTGTCAGCAAACTGCAAGCAATTCCAAGACGACAAGTAGACGCCTAAGTGAATGCAAACAGCCAAAGGAAAGAAACCTCCCAGAGAGATGAGGTAGGCTCAGGGACTTGGCAGCCTCCCTCAGCTCTTAGCCGACAGCAGTAGAACAACCGAGAACAACACCCATAAAGCTACTCACTTCCTGAGTGGATTGGTTTAAAAAGCGTCCAAACTTTTAGTTTCTCACTAATATGCGTTTCCGAGAAAGCAAAGACGGCAATGGAGCATGAAGGCGCCAGACTATATCAGCCAAGCGCGAGGTCGCACAAACGCTCTGAAAGCCTACAAGATGCCAAGGCCAGGATTAAGCTTCAATGGCCGGACGTGCAGGAAGATGTTCGATGAACACGCTGAATTCAGAACGACCCTGGCAGTGCCGATTCGCGAGGAGTCGCTTGAGCCAAGTCGCGGATCCGATGCACGGTGCGGGTGTTCCACACAATGAGGTCACCAGGCTGGACGACATACTCAGTGCAATCAGTAAACCTCAGCGCTTGGCGGTTGGTTTGGATGGCGACTTTGCTTTTTGCCCCCCCAACCTGTGCATGCTCTCAAAGCCGAGGTATGGGTAAAAAGCCGAGAACAAAAAAGGTTGTGGGGCCGGAAAACAACCGGTCCGTTGTGGCGGGCTGAAGGCGCAGCATGCGGAAGGAAGCATGTACCAAACTGAGACGCTGATCTGTCGACCAAGAGCCGAGGCAAATCTCCTCCCGAAATATCCACAGCCACCTCGTCTTTCACCGTCTGGTTCCGGTGCGAGCCTATCAAATATTCCTTGGCAGGAGCTGACTTCAATCTGAACCAAACTGTATCCACCGAAAACCTGACATGCGGGACTTGCAGGGGTACGGCTGGTTCGGCACATATTGCAGGTAAACAAATCACAACTACTATAAATCACAGTGTTTCCCTTGTTGCCTGCTTGCAGCATGTAGGGAATCCACCGAAGCCATCTGACTGCCTGTTTCAGGGGGGAGTTCATGAAATCTCGGTGCAACTCTGGATAGAAAACTCCAGAAGGACAAACACCAAACCCGTGTAAGTGTGACTTTGGTTTGAGCCAAAAAAAAACAGAAGCCCGCCAAGGCCCCCCCAAATGCCAAAAAAATCAGTTCGCCTACTCCAGCTGTGTGTGAGTATGTGGGCTGTGATACAAACTACCCCAAGTGGCAGAGGATCCCCTGGCTCCTGTGTGCCCACTAGCAGGGCTGGGTTGGCATGATCCAAACGCGGCTCAAAATGAAGGAGCCTAGTCAATCAGCTTCCAGATAGGCTTCAGGAACAACCCAGCCGCTCGATCGCTCGATCAGCTCGATCGCTCGATCGCTCGCCGGGCCGCCGGCACCCCGATCTTTCCCTCACCGCAGGCATCCATGGCAGTCCACCAGCGGATTGCCTGAGACCATCTCTCGCAACCCTCGTCACTGGAAGCCTGATGAACAAAGCCCACACCGGACACCAGTTGGGATTTGTGGTTTTCTCGCAGCATTCAGGGAGCCTCATCCGCAGCAACTGGTGCAGGATGAACCCTGAACCCGGTGAATAGTAAAACAAAATCACACCGATCGGGCAGTTGGTAATAGGTGGGATTCACCCAATGTGGATGGCTACGCAACCAAATCAGGCATCAGTTGACCAGTTGGGATTGGTGGTGGGTTTCATCCATCCCAACTTGTCACGTGTGTCACTGCGAAAGAACGGATCAAGCTCAAGCAGCTCAAGGTTGAAACTGTACAGGCTCCCGACGGCTCAAACTGGGCAGGAGTCGACTTCCTAATGACCAGGCTCAAAGGAAAGGGGCAGCGGCGTTTTGCTAAAAAGCTAGCATGTGGCATGTGGCATGGTCACTTAAAACGCTGTTAAATAGGAAAGCCCTCTGGATGGATCCATGCCAAACCTGCGTCTGGCGACATAGTCAGCATCGATCGGGCCGTTCTGATTGTCCTGGTGCCAGTTGATGCCATCCTGGCGCTTTGGTGCGAACAGTTTTTGCTGCGGACTTTGGGGGGCAAGGGGCGGGGAAGCAGCCGCGGCGCCAAGGAAAACGTGCCACCCGAACTGCGGGCAAACTGCGGGTGGACCTCAATGAGAGGGTTGTCGCAATCAACTGCCCAAGGGGCCCCCCTTGCATGCAACCTTTGAGAATGGTCATGTCTGTGCTCATGACTCAGTCAGAATCATTGCTACCTGAGATGTTGCTTTCGTTGCTCTGAAGCCAAAACTCGGGTGACCACCCCAAACTAAACCCCTCCACTGGTTGCGTAAAAACCAGGATCCCGTGCTCAACCCGAACCCTATCCCAAGAACAGACATCGCCTTCTCCATCAGACCAGGCCCCCAGGGTTGGTTCAAACCCTTTTGAACATGCCTTAAAACAGCCTCCATGTTGGCTTCCTTCCTGGAAAGACGTTTCTCCAAATTCTGGGGCTCCAGCTGGTCCTTGAAGCAAGACCATCCAAGTGACAAGGGGTCCCCTGGGTCTGAAACCTGTTCCTAGGCCTTTCGGCCCAACATCCCCGACGAACCCCGGCGTTGGGGTTCACGATGAGCACGTCCGTGCTGGGCCGCAGCTCCGAGGTCCGCGCCAGCTGCGCCAGCACGTGGCAAAGGGGCGAGTAGTACCTAGAGAAAACATGGCTCCGAAACCTGTGGAAGGTTCCCTCCCACCAATTAACATGGAACCTGGGTGCTGGTTTGGACATATTTGTTTCCCAATGTCAACCTCGACTTGAGACTGAGGACCACAGTCCCAAATAGCGACTCTGCGTGTTGAGCAGAAGGCCGAAGGCACATGAAATCTCGGTAGCCGTTGTTGGTCATCCACACATTCCTCTGAATGTAGTCGTAACCTGAGAGCCCCCTCGCGAGAGATTCCCGGCTCATGAAAGTTGCACATTTAATGAAAGTAGATCTCTCTCTCTCTCTCTCGCTCTGGGATGGTCGTCCCCTTTCCTTATATACATCTACCAGGAACTCTGTCTACATTCAGCCTGCTTGAACATCCCTGTCGCCGCTCAGGAACTTCGGTCTGAGGGCGAAGCTGTCACCACCGCGCCCCACGAGGCTCCAAAGGTGTGGGTGCTCCACCTGATGGTCGGTCACCTGGCGCAGAAACTCCACCCAGTCCTGCCAGCTGCGAGTGAGAAACGGGGAAAAAACCAGGGACTGTCTTGTCCCATGAAACATCACCCCTCTAAAAGGTGGGGTGGTCTTAAACTGGCCACACAGGTGATGTTTTCTCCCAGGGATCTCTTGCCCCATGAGGTTCTGTGGAACCTCCACCTCTGCCCATCATTAAATGGCGCGCCTCGGGTTCTGCATGCAACCTAGTTGCGATTTCGCACCAAGCAAAACGTGGGGGCCCCAGCTTTGCGGGACGTACCATGGTGCAATCCATGCCCGGGTTAGCAGGTCCTTCAAGGCACCGGGCACTAAGACAACCTCAGCAAGTCAAAGTCTTGTCCGAGTTCATGCTGGGTTTGACTGAGGACGCAACACGAAGACCACTTGATTGAAAAACCAAGGCCCAGCTGAAGTCCGCTTACTTGCAACACCAAGGCTCAGCTAGATCTGAGGCAAATGAGAGCTGCCCAGTTTGCCCAAGGAGCAGCGTCAAGGGTGCTAAGGGGCCAACACAACATCCATCCCCTCGTGTTTTTTTTTTTTTTTTGGGGGGGGGGGGAATAGCACAAGCTGGGGGCTGGGGAGGGTTCTCAAAATGGTAGACCCCCTTTTGGATGGTTTTAAAGGGAAAGCAGCCCATTTTAGAGGCCCGGTTTTTCCTGCCCCTATTTTGAGCACCCACCATTTGCATGTTTCGCAAATTTCTCGCTGTGCGGCTCCCTTCTCTTCCAGCTCGTCTGCCAGGTGCGCCTGGCTCGAAGCCGTACCCTCACATCCGTCAGGACCCTCCATTGGGCTCAGGACCTTCGGACCGGTTTCTTTTGACCTCACAGAGGGGCCATTTTGAGGTACCAAGATTCTTGGGCTAATGCGAACATTTGAGCGAGGGGAGCCTAAACGGCTTCGAATCAACGGGCTCCAGGTTCGACCCAAAGAACAGTTATGTGTGTAGCATCTGAAAGGAACGCATTTGAACTCAGCTCCTCAACCAGTATCTTCCACCCCTTTCCAGCCACCTCCACTTTGTAGCGTGCCGGCGCATGGCCGCGCTGAACCCCTGGCAAGCCGGGGGTCATGGGTTTCAAGCAACATTTGAAAGACCAAACTGGTGGCGGGAGTGGATGCAAGGATCCTCAGGCAAAAGCTATGCGTTGTGACTGAGCCGGCCTACAAATCAATGGCTCTGCTAAAGGAAGCAAGTATATCGCTACTTTTCAGCAAGCTATTCAAACTTGCATCCGGGCAATGATCGTCTCTGTCTGCTGAGCTCGCATGACCCCAATCTTGAACGGAGTGAACATTTGAGCATGTGCCGAGATGTGCGCAAACAAGTGTAAACAAAACCGTTCTAGTTCACCAAGCCCCTCTGGATGGATGCCACAGTCACATCCAGACTTGGCCTCTTCCAACATATCTGACACATCCATCCGGCCAATGTCACGACGAAAGCAATGATCATGCTAGAACTTTGTTGGGAGTCACCGGTGCAGTACAGGCTTCTCGCATGACACGAGGGAGGTACAAACATGTCTCTCCATCCAATAGTTGAAGAACAAGGCACGACCGCCTTTCTGATCGGCTGGACTTCTTGAGATCGAAAAGCGCTGGCGAAGCAAAACTCGAGCCTGCTGGCAAAGGAACCTCGGGATCTTGCACGCCAAACCTCAGCACCAAGCTGGTAACATGGCTGCAACGCAAAGCTGTGCACGTCAACGCTAGGGATCAGGAGCCACGTTTCATTGAGCGATTTTGACCCACCCAACTATTCCACAAGTTTCCCTCCGAGTGGTGAGTCAACACAGGCCTGTGATTTCACTGCAAGGTGCTGAAGCTTCGAAAGGTCCACCGCCTTCTTCGCCTCGAACAAAGAAAATGGATGCATGAGGTGTTTTGGTTGTTGTTCTTTGTGAGGGCACCCCTCTCTTGAGTGGTTTTCAAGGGAAGCCAACAGGAGACGGCTTGAAGAGTTCCCTTATTTGGAGGCGAGCGCGGGCCTGGCTGGTCCGGCAGCTTGGTGGAAGCGCATGGTCAGCTGGCTGGTGGACACTCCCCGCGCCCCATTCCGGCAAAGGGACAGGGACAGCCCTGACCGTGGAAATATCCAAGCAAGCCATGGCGAACATATTCCGAAATCAAGCAAACAAAGCAAATTAAATCAAGCCAGCCAGCCTGCCAGCCAGCCAACAAAAAGCGAAGCAAAGCCAAGCAAGCCAAGCAAGCAAAGCAGGCAAAGCAAGGGATTCAAGCAAAGCAAGCAAAGCAAGCAAGCGCACAAGCAAAAAGATAAGCCAACCTAAGCCAACAACCGGCTCTCAACTTGCCATTGGTCAGTGAGGGACAAGCTGTTCCACACACACATTGCTTGGTCCTGGTGGGCGGCCCGCCAATCTTTTAGGGGAACTGAGTTGTTCCCACAAACCCTCTCAAACACTAGTTACTAGTTGTTAGCTCTGTCAGTTGGGTTCCTCACTGTCACATGCTTGCCCCAGCGGCCAAAGAGCTCCTCTTGCCAGAGCCCTCGCCACGCAGCACGCTGGGACGCCCTGCCCAGGTGGCATAAAGAGGCGCCGGCCACGGTCAAAACAACGCTTGCCAGGAGTTCAAGAAGGCTGGCACACACGCAGACATACACGCACAGCACGGATCGCCACGGGGTCAAACTGCAACAAACAATTATGTTGTCCACGAGCGGCATTAAAATACGTCACCAAAATTGAATGATCTGATTTCAAACTCCCAAGTCAGCAAGGTCGTGAAAGCAGAATGCCAAACGCCAACATGAATTGCACCGTCTGGAACTTGGCTGCACATGCATGAATGCAGGCTCTTGCCGCTGCCCTTTGTGCAAGTCCTGCGAGGAAAAAACAAACACGCAGGCCCCGAGATTAGCTTCGACGGCCCGAGTCCGTCCCAGCGCCGGCGCCCCTTTTCCTGAAATTCAACGCACCAAGACCCCAGAGGTGCACATGGCGCCACCTCGGTGGAACCATCTGTACAGCTTCCTTTTGCTCTGAGAGAGCAGAGTGTTCAAACACTGCTCACTGAGATCAGCCCAATCTCAGAGGGGCGGGGCATTCACCCCAGTTGTCCCAATGGCAGAGCGAATGGTTGTTTGCGCGAATGGGCTCCACATCATTTACACGAATCTTACATCTGTCCTCTGAGGGCGGTTCATGACTGAGACCCTAAAGTCATTCAGCACTGCCAACATCATTACAACGGCTCAAAGATTGAGGCCATCATCTCCAGGCGGATCTTCTGCAACTCTTCGCCTCGAACCAAGTTTGCATGGCGAAGTGCTGTGACTGGTTGACCTAGCATCTTATCATCCTGGCTACCTCCGCCTGGCTATAGGTTTCCCCATTCTCTCTCTGGCTGCCGTTGAAAGGACAAGCCCTCGCTGGACAATTTGGGGCCAGGACAAACCTTTGGACTTTCTGAAGGGCAAGTCACGCAACAAAAAGGCGGCGACCAGCAGAAACAGGCGGGCCATCCGAAACATCACCACTGCAAAAGCGCGCTTGTCACAGCAGCCAGATTACCCTGTGTTTATAGTCCAATGCCTTTACGCCTTACATGCCTTGGTGGGCGCAAACCCGTATAAAAGGGTGAAACAAGGGATGCATGTCCAATCAACAATCACAAACCTTCTGGGTGTCTTTGATTGAGGGTGTCAACCCAGCATTGTGCAAGGAAACCAAAGGGAAGCCAACCATTTCAATCTTTCCGGCACCACATGGGACCCTGTTTTGAGAAACACACACACACACATAGGCGGTCTGAAACAGACACCTGTTCCGACAAATGCCGCGGAGTCTTTCCTGCCGGAGGCGCGGGACTTCTTTGAGAGGGCGCCCTCGACGATGGCACGCTTCTGCTTCTGCACCTCCAGGATGCGCTCCTAGCTTCAAGGTACGCAGGAGCCAAGGCATCCTAAGTTGCATCCTGACCACTTAACAACTAGCAAGCACCTACTAGCCACTCTAGCCACTTCCTGGCTAACCCAGGGTGGACTTAGCTGAGGCTTGGTTTTTTGGTTTAGTCGCGTAACTTTAGTCATTTACTCAGTTTGGGTGCCTGCTGGCTCCAGCTCGCTGGCTGGCGATGTCTGAGGGGCAGCGGGCGACACTACTTCAGTGCTACAGTACCAAGTGCTGGTGTGATCTTGTCGGTCCGCTTTAAGTCGTGCCTGAGGGCGCTTAAATGGTCCTTGGTTGCACCGGAAAACATAAATTCAGAAACAAACAGATTCTCGCCCACTCAACCTGCAACCTGCCCACTCGCCTCCACCTGCCCCCTCCCCCCCACCCTGAACCCTCAGCATCCTCGCTCAATCCCCCCACCCCCAAACCCCCCCGAGCCGCCCCAAAGGTGCCTCCACGGTGCGCTCCGCCACGAAGCGCAGAGCGCGCACCGGGCGTCGCTGGCCCAGGCGGTGCAGGCGATCGATGGCCTGGTCCTCGTCTCCGGTTTGGTTGCCTTTTGGTTCCTTCTCTTGGTTGCTGTTGACCCCCCTGCAAAAAGTTTAACTTTTTGGGGGGCAATCAAGTTCTGGGGCCAAAAAGAAGTTCTGGTGCTCAGTAGGGAATGTGGGCATGAACCTAGGGGTCCTTGAAAGGAAACCACCAGTTGGATGGAATTTATAGGGGCCCTCTGCTGAGCACCGGCCAGAAAATAGACCAAGGGAAACCAAAGACGATCGCCTTTTGAAGACCGGTACAAAATGAAACGGACCAAGGGAAACAAAAAGGTCAAAAGGATGAAAGGTGTCCAACACCAAAGATGAACAAAGGGGAAACTGAAAGGTCAAAAGGTACTTTTGGGGCCAAAATTGACCAAGGGGAAAAGGTCGATTCGCTTTGGGCAAGTGAGCCGAGATGAGCTGAGGAAACCCGCAATTGTGAGGGTCTCCGAAGTATGAAGACAAAACCACTTGCTGCGGCCATTTGAAAGCCACGGGTGGGAAAAGATGTTTGGAGGGGTGTTCGATGTCAAGATAGAAAGCAGGGTGAACGCCTTCGGGAACTCATGCGTGGTTTGCCCAGCTTACCAGCAGCTTGCTAATGTGGACTTTGGACGCGCACTGCATCTAAAAGCAAGGTACCCCTCGCTGATTGAGAACTGTTTTTTAATGCAAACACTCCTGATTAATAACGAGGGGCTACTAATCAGGAGTCAACACAAAGAATCTGACGCAGCTTGAGTGGATCAAGTTTCAGGCTGCTGTAAGATTGCAAGGACAATGCAATGTTGAACTTCAGCGCGTTATGGGCTGAGACGATAGGGGCTGAGCCACGTCAAATCCATGAAACTGCAGTGTGGAGCTGCCACCATGCCGGCACCTGTGGCTCAAGCTGACTGCGAGGAGGCTCATCAGGCCGACCCAAATATTTTGTTTCTATCGCTTACCACGAAGTGCCATGCGATGCACGGGCAGGGGCTCACCTAAAGCCACGGAACCAATAGCTTCGTGCTCAGTCCTCTACAGCTGGATTCCACCACCTCAGGACTGGATTTGACCGATCCCTCAAGAGTCGCACTCTGCAGTTTGCCCTCGAAGGTTCTGTGCCTTTGACGCCTTCTCCCGCCTAAGCGCACGGCGGGTCGATCAACAGCACGTGGTCCGCAGCTGTTAGGTTCAGACCTGCCACCACCCTCCATGTCATCCCTTTACGGCAAGCCGAAGACCTTGGCCCCAAAGCAGAAGACACAGCCTCACGATGGATTCTTTGCGGTTTGCTACGCCCAGCAGGCCGGAGCGAGTGACATTTCAATTCCGTCATGCATCTTTTGAGGTAGCCGAATCGTTCATGAGCGATGCGAAACAACACAACTGCCAGTCACTCCTAGTACCAGGGGCCTGTTCCAGCTGCCTTGAGGCTGCAAAGCATCACCTGCGAGTGGCGCTGCAAGCTGATGCGCTGGGGACATCCTGCTGTTTCTGAATGGAAGCTTCGGTGCTTGACAAACGAGGTGACACTTCCCCATTCTTGACTGCCTAGCCCAATATTTCTCAGTGTCCATCGTTGATATGGTTATTCGTCAGAACATGCTTCCTATTGGCGTGACTTCCTCAATCTTTGCAGAGCTTTGTGCTCGAAGAAACGAGCGTGAACACAGGGGCACTTGGTTGCCAGACAACCCCGCTGCAAGCCCGCGTTTGGCTTGCTGGCTTCCAAACACCAAATTCAGCAGATTGCCACACTTTCGGCGGGTGACTTGCAAGTTTGTAAAGCCGGGGGTCGAGACAATCGTCGTTTGTCACGAATGCTCAAGAACGGGCATCTGGGCACTTTATTGTTGAATTGGGCTGTTGCGAGAAGAAACCTGGCCCGTTTTGCGCGGCTTGTGTGCTTGCAAAGTTTCATGGGTGAAAGATTTAGGTTGTGCTTTGTTCGTTGGGCAACCTTTGAAATGTCACCCTTGTTGGCTTGAGGTGCCATCTGATGGAGTGAAACTAGATCCTCATCTCCGTGCTGCTCATGCCAAAGAAGCACACCTGCCCAAACAAATCCAAAGAGGTCTGAGTACAAACTTGCCAAATCTCATAGATGCTATACATGGTGGTATCATTAGGTCTCTTGCAACTCGATCCGGCTCGTCAACGCTTTGAGCAAATCAAGGGATCTGACAGTTCTCATTGGTTCCCCCGCACCCCTGCCGCCCTCTCGGCCGCTTCTTGGACAACAACTCCATTCGTGGCGTGCATGCTGACTGCCCCACCACCTGTTTTGATGGTTTGCGCGCCTGGATGTGCCCGTGCCCCGCGAAGCTCTGCTGCGCAGAGACGCGGGCGTCGTGGGACATGGAGCCGTCCAGCCGCACAAAGGGCAGCTGATGCTTTTTCAGCTCCTCGGCCGCGGGCTTACGGCTGAACCGTTTGGAGGGAGATATAAGGTCTGTGGGGCGCGTGGGGGAGAATTGGGTACAAGCCTTGGCATCCATTTGGAGGGAGCCTTGAATAAGGATTCCTGCCGAAGCAATGATTCGAGGACATTGCAGACTCAGACTGCGGTGTGTATCAACGAGGTGTCGCCAGTAAAGCAACATAAGCCGCATAGTTTGCATACCGCCAAGGTTCTGGTCCCCACATTCATGCTTTGCAGAAGGAAACAATATTGATGTTGAAGGCTGTGCCCACCCCCCACCCCCCCCCCACCCAAACGCACTGAACCACACAAAACATCCATAGCCCTACATCCTGCTATGCTATCTTACCATGGCAGCCCTGCCAATCCTCAGGCTGGCCTGCGCAACTCAACCCGAGCGTGACGCACGGCTCGAGCTTTGCCAAGAGTCCGCCTGCACCAGGTTCAACAAAGCGGTGAACTGCGAGAAAATGACGGCCTCAGGGCTGCCAGGACTGCCGCAAGCCGCTTCAACGGGGACAAGTCCCATTTGGACGCCTCGAAAACGCGAAACGCTGCGCCTGAAATCAACATGAAGACAAAGGGCACTCATGCAAGTGGTGATTCGACTTTGCACGACCCTCTTCGTAGAATTCTGAAGAACGACATGGCCACTCAGAATGTAACAAGTGCATGGGCGAACAACCTCCACTTTCGGAGGGGTCGTTGAAAGGTTGCTGGATGAACAACTTCCATTTCGCAACTCTGGATGCAGGGCATGACGGCCATTTGTTGGACGTCAGTCAAAGTCTTAGGGTTCTCTCCAGCTTGGGCCAAATCCATAGGCGCGCTTCCCAGTTTTCAGTAGTTCACGTAGCCGGAAGCAGGGCCAATATTCCGTGGGTCCAGAACCCGCCAAACCAAAAGGGATTTAGGGTGGAATCCACCTCCAGCAACTGGCTGCGCTGATTGCTTGGGCTCAATCACTGGGCCTTGTGGGGACGCTGCTCTCCGTCCACCTTCTGGATCACCTCACGAAGCTTCCCAATGGACATGGGCGACCGTGTTTTTCGGGCGCCTGCTTTGGCTGTCTAAACATACGACCACAGGGAAACCCATTTTGGGGTTCTACAACTTGCCTGCGGCCCGGGCCGCGGCCCCTTCCCTCAAGGGCTACCCCAGTTCCACTTGGCTTCCTCTTTGACTGGTCATGTCATCTCACCTGCTCCGACAGGAAGGCCAACACCGCCCGGATCTTTGAGCTGGCGGGCGCCCAATTCGCATCGTTCTCCCCCTCCACCACCTCGAGTTCCTCACTGCAACTCGAACAAAGCCACCCCCCCAAACAAAAAAAGGAAAGTGGGGGATCCAACCCCCTCTCTGAACTCCTGTTGCGTAGACCGCCTTTTGGTTTCCATTGCAGTACACGATTACTAAAACCCCCGTGAATAAAGGCTGCCCCTTGTCTCAAAAATAGGACCTTCTAAAAGGCAAGCAAAGCTGTCCAATGCTGAGCTGCGAGCGCAACTGTGCAACCAGCAACTGTTTCTTGCAAAGAACCCTTCGCTAACGCTTTCGGGGAACATGCCATTCCTGTTGATCAGCATGTCCCATGTGTCCTATTGCCCAGAAGGGGCCAAGAAGGCAAGGACTGAAGAAGTTCTCCAGGTTGCTGTTTCAAGTTCAAGCTGGGAAGGGGCCGACCGAAGGGGCTCCAGATTGCTCAGGGCCATGTCCAAACCTTACCTGCCGAATTTGGCTGCGAGGGTTTGTGGCGCCGCGCAGTTGGAGAGCGCGCGCGTTGTTGCCGGCAAAAGTCTGCAGGCTTCTCGAGCAGCTCCGCCTTCTTGATGCTGCCGCGGCAGAGAGGACAGTGCCTAAGCTCAAAAATACTGGCTCCCTCAAGAAGACATGGAGAGGTTTTGTTTTTTTCCAGCATGGGAAATTTGGTGAGTCCCCTTTGGTTTTGTGGGAAATGAGTGAGGCCCCCTCCCCAACAGCCAGAGACTACTGAAAACTTTGACCAAACCTCAGTTACATTCACACATTGGCAACAAGAGAGCCAAATCGCACCTGCGCATCAAGCCATACTTGCCCACCCGTATCTGTTCTAGAGGGAACCTACCAGGGGCCCATTCCGCGAGGAGCAAGGGGAATACACCACGCTGCGAGCCAAGCTGCCCCTGCCCGCTTCTTCCAAGCTGTCGCAGGGCTGTCTCAATGCAGCCGCGGTGAAAGACGTGGCCACAGCGCGTGACGATGTCGCAGCTGGGCTCCATGCAAATACTGCCTCGCTTCGGCGGATCAAAATCGCCGGGCTCTAATTGGGACGTTTCTTAATGGCCGAATAGCCGCTGACTTCGTTGTAAACTTGAAGCTGGCAAGTTCAAAGTTCCAGACGTTCCAGATTCTTAAAAAAGCTGCGCCGATAAGCCGGAAAGCCGACATCGAATATCGGGTGATTCTCTCCGCGCCGATAAGCCGATATGCGCCGATACGCCGTTTATTTGATATCGGGTTGTTGGCTTGTCGGCTGTTCTCGGGTGATGCCGGGTGACTCTGGGCAATGCTGGGGAAAATCGGGGGATATCGGGGGACACTGAGTGATGTCGGGAGGTATCGGGCGATTCCGCTGGATCGGCTAGCAGGTCACATTTGGTAAAAGAGTTGACTTCGTGTGACATCGATGTCACTTCAAGGGATGTCGGGTGATATCGGGTGATATCTGGTGATATGGGAGTGAGTGAGTGAGTGAGTGAGTGAGTGAGTGAGTGAGTGAGTGAGTGAGTGAGTGAGTGAGTGAGTGAGTGAGTGAGTGAGTGAGTGAGTGAGTGAGTGAGTGAGTGAGTGAGTGAGTGAGTGAGTGAGTGAGTGAGTGAGTGAGTGAGTGAGTGAGTGAGTGAGTGAGTGAGTGAGTGAGTGAGTGAGTGAGTGAGTGAGTGAGTGAGTGAGTGAGTGAGTGAGTGAGTGAGTGAGTGAGTGAGTGAGTGAGTGAGTGAGTGAGTGAGTGAGTGAGTGAGTGAGTGAGTGAGTGAGTGAGTGAGTGCGTGCGTGCGTGCGTGCGTGGGTGCGTGGGTGGGTGGGTGGGTGGGTGGGTGGGTGGGTAGCGTGCGGGCGGGCGGGTGGGTGATGAGTGGGTGATAGTGGGTGGGTGGGTGAGTGTGAGTATAGGTGAGTAAAACACCCCAAGTCCAACCAAACCAAAAGGTCGACAACATAAACGTTCCCAACCGGAACGTTCTCAGGTGGAAACCCTGCAAAGGCTATCCCCGACACCTTTGAGAAAGTGTGGTACGGTGGATGCCCTTAATTTTGCAAGTAAGGCAATAAGGAAACTATGACAAATCGACGTCTTTACCCCTACCCAGAATTCAAGTCAGAGGACCGTTGTTTGCATTCTCCTTCCAGGTGTTAACCGCCCCATGTGGCTCACGTGACCCAGGCAGAAGGGCGGTTTGAATTTTGTTCCCTAGCACAAACTTAAGGGGAAGGCGTCCTATTTCCCTACCCTAAATTCAAGGCGCCCTCTGCCGACGTCGGGGGGGGGGGAGGGGTGGGGTGTTTGTGTTCTCCTTCTAGGTGTCAACGGCCACATGTGACCCTGGCAGAAAGACGCTTTCCCCTCCCCACCCCAAACTCGTGGGGCCCTGCGTGTTGTGTGTGTTCTCCTCCCAGGTGTCAAATCCCACACGACCTAACCAAAAAGATGTCTTTTTTCCCTATGCGCAACAGCCGCCGATAAGCCGATCAGCCGATATGCGCCGATACGTCGATAAGCCGATACTGGATATCGGGTTATTGGCTTATTGGGTTATCCCAAGTAAAAACCCGCCCAGCCGTCACAGTGCAAAGTTCGCTGAGTTTCAGTCATCCTCCTGGGCTTCTGCCAAATTCTTCAGCAACTGCTCCACGCGATTGCTGCCAAGGGCAGCGACTGCTGCGTCGAACACGCGGCCGACATCACCTTGGGAAGCGGTTCGCAAATGTTCGAGCCTTGCGCCCGTTTGTGCCTTGCACGTCCTGCTTGTTTAGAAGAGCATTGGGGATTGCGCAACATTTTAGAATACAGCTGAACTAACCCAAGCAATACTCAGCCGACGCTGAACCCAAGCTCACCAGCAACTAGCTGACCTGTACCCTGCCAATGCTGACCAATACGTGTACCATAAGTTGTAGTCCAATGCTAAAAATCGAATCCAAGACGAAAGTAACAACCACTTTTTCATGTTCCTTGGCTCACCTCTGAACACAATCTGATCTTGTGTTTCTCTAATTCCCGAGCTCGTCGGGGGCCTCTTGGAGGCCAGCTTTTGGGATCGCAGTCCCCCGGCCTTTCCCACTGCGAAGTTCGGCCAGCAGGTTTGCTGGCAGGAGCCCAGCTGAGCAGCAAAGCTGCCGAAGACGGGTCAACAGTGAAAGAACCTGGATTTCACAAATGTGCCCGCCGTATCTCCGAATCTCAACAAGCTTTGTGAAGAACATAACACCACATACAAAGCTTGCCATGGCAAGACACTTGTGAGAAATTCTGCCCCAGTTGGCTGCGGGCTTGCATCTCCTGAACCCTCTCGCTGGCACAGTTGAAGAGGCGGTCGTAGAGCACACGGTCGCTGGACTCCAAAGGCACACGCACCAACTCCAAGGTCTTGCTGGGCAGGAGCAACAGTGGCCGCCTCTTGCCACTGGAATCCAAGATGCTCATGTCTTTGGTTCGGCGCAGGCACCAGAAACGAAGCAACACTTGCAGGCGCTCAAAGCCCACCACATCGCGGTTCTTCAAGGGCCGCAGGATGGTGCCTGGGGACTGGAGCAAGTGAACAAAGGATCCATCCTTTGGGCTATGTGGTTTCCTGCTAGTTCCTTGGTGGTTGTTCTTTAACTGACAAAAACACAACCATCACGTGGCCCCCCCTTTTCTGGGCACCCAGGTGCGGTTGAACCAGTCGAACTGGTCGAAAGGCTCAAGCTTCAAGAACCGCGCCAGGGAAAACAAATCTTCCACGGAGTTCTGGATGGGTGTGCCGGTGAGGCACCACTTGCAGTCCGCTTTCACCAGTTGGAACACTGCCTGGCAGGAGACTCAACAACTTTCAACAGGGCCCAACCCCCCGTTCAACATCTTCAAACCATTCTTCTTTCAAACAACTCCTTTTGGTTTCCCTTCTAGCATCGGGTTTGTAAATTGTTACGTGAAACTTCAAGCCACCTCGTCGTGTTTTGCCTTCAAAGGGGTGGGCGGACCGCGTGGTTCAATCCCCTAAGCTTTGGAGGACCTCTGTCGGACTCGACTCCCCCTCCGCGGCCTGGGCCGTCGCCTGCTTGTGGCCCTTGATCACATGGGCCTCGTCCAGCACCGCGCGGTGCCAAGACACCGAGCCCAGGCCT